ATTCTCCAAACAATAAACTTTATGCTATGTTTTGTTCCCTAATAAGAGATTGGTTCCTTTCTCACACCAGGCTTTTGTGAGTAATAAACGCTGCCTCTGCTGCACAGTTTTTCCATCTCACAATCCTGAGATGGAAGAATCTGGGAGCAATGGAAGGAGGTTAAGAAAATGTCTGCTCCCAAAAGGATAGGTGTGTGATTTACTGTTGTGCTTGTGCTGAGGCAATTAGCAGTCTGATGTTTAACTTTGCTGTTGTTTAACTTCTGTAGGCACAACCACATGATCCACAGTGATTTTGATATAAAGCTTTGGTTATGCAAAGTCAGCCACTGTCTTTTTTGGAATTAGAGAAAGAGGAAGACAAAGTGAGGAACTCTTTTTCATGAGAATGTTATGTCATTCACATACCTTAACCCACTGATGACCTTAAAGGAAGAAAAGAAAAAAAGTCACTTAATATATAAATTCTTAAGTTGGCAATAGAATTTGCTTTGCAAATATGAGCATTTGGCAAGTTTCTACATTTTTCTCATCAAAACTGAAATGAAAGCTGTGGAAGGGAATCAAATCTGAATTGTGCTGACCCAAACACATACTTCCTGAAATCAACAGGATTTACATGTATTAGCAGAAAAAAAGGAGCCCAGAACTACCTTCCTTAAAAAAAAAGCACTGCATTTCTTTCATGAAGTTTAAAAAGGGTTGAAAAAATTTTGAAAAAAAAAAAAAAAGAGAGAAAGGAGCATAAGTTAAACTTCATAGATTGTATTGCACCTAACTTTTTTTGGTAAAAGGAAGTAGGCAGATGATAGGAAGTCATGCAGTTTTTGCCTGTGTATTTATGTGCACAGATTTATAGGTGTGTACACATATTTAAGTGTTTTTTAACAGCTGCAGGACTCCAGCATGCATCTCCAAGTGCATGTAAGCCATCTGAACCCTTCAGCCTTTATTGCATAACACAGCCATATTGCAAAATATTACCACACCAAGATCATTTACATTATTTCATAACAAAAAAAAGAAGTACTATTACAGAACATTTTTACCCTTAAGGGAAAATTACTAATTATTTAAACACTGTCTGTGTGTTTTTGTGTGTGGTGTATAGAGGTATATGAGCCTCATTATGGAAAAATGTAGGGGTGGATTAAAGCAGGATCTGTGGGATACAGCCCAGGGTCAGAGGAGTTTCAACAGACAAGAATGTCAAAAGCAAAGCAGAAAAAGACAGCACAGTTGATTGTAGTGATTGGGGTGATACACATACCTTCAGAGAAAAACAGCTTTTCAGAAAGGGGAACACCTGTGTCTGTCTTAGGCCTGATCAGGAGGCAGGCGACATCCAGAAGCAGACTAAGGTAGAAGGCAGGTATTTTGGCTTCAGAATGAATCTGGAAACCTCTGTTAAGCTTCTACATTCTCTAAACAGCGAGTAGATTGCTAATTTCTGAGAGAATTATTTCACTTACCTGAATCATCTCTGTTCAAATCCGCGTTTGTTTCTTGCTGTGAGGGGACAGTGCAATTGCTGAGCTGTTGCCTAGTCCTTGTTAGAGATCTTTTTACTGTACAAATTATTGTTTTATTAATTTTGTTCTTATAAGACAAGTAAGAAAAAAATCCTAGGTTCTCCTTTCTGCTGATCAGATTACTTCTGTATTTCACCTGATGACCAAAGTAGAGGTCTCAGCACCTTCCAGAAGGTGCTCCAGTCTCACCTATGCAAGCTCACACTGATCTACTTGAATTCGCACACATTCCGAGGCCCCACCATTAACTGAGTGAGCAGTGGTGTTATTCCAGAGGCTTTGAAGAGTGTAACCACTCGAGGTTAAGGCACCCGAGATGCCTTTCCATGAAACACCCAGTGACACCTGTTCAAGGTGATGACAGCTTCCAGTTGTCAGTCATCCTGGGTGAAACAGGATCTGATCCAGAATGGAGTACCACCTGTATCACCTTCAGTTAAAAGGAGAGGGGTGACCAATATTTTTTTAATCATCCTGACCCAAAGAGTTGATGTACAGTGGTTTGCATTTATTAAGCTAGCCCTTTTAAAGCGTAACAGAAGAGGCGCCTCATATCTCAGATTGTTGTGCTTGTCAGGTTCCAAAGGAGATGTCTAACACGTTAGACTAAGTTTTAGATTATTCTGAAGTGCAACTTTTGACATAATTTTCTGTGAATTCAGATATCTTCACAGATAGATACTGGCTGACTAGCAATTTGTTTTGAGGATTGTAATGTAAGCATACAGTTCCTTTTTTTTTTTTTTTTCTGTCTCTGAACCTAAGAGTTCAGAGTTTAAAATTTGCAGAATACTGGTTTTGATGTACATTTAAGCCTAAGGGGTTTATTACAGGGTTTATTTCTCAATGTCCTATTGAGTAAGGAAATGTGATCTTATGACATACAGAAGGCTGTCTGCAAAGTGCATGGAACTCCACCAGTAGAAAACAGTGCCTGGTGCATTGTTGTAGAGAGTCTGTTAATGACCTTTCTCATCTTTTCTGCTATCCAAACTTGACATGTACTGAGCTGGAACAGGGAGGCTAGTTTGATGGAATGGAAATGTGTGGATTAGTTGGGAAAATTCTCCTCTCAGGACAGGAAATCCATCCTGGGTAGTTGTAATAAAAGGACTTGAGAGTGGTTGCCTTTTCAACTGTTGTCTTTCTTCTGCAGCTGAACTATGTTCAGAAAGGAGAGTTTTGATACACAGATGTTCACTGAGAAATCAGTTTTGCCTACAGGTTAGCAACCAACAGCAGTAATCAGGATACACAAGATGCTTCTGATCTTGCTGTTGTATGCAAAGAAGCCTGATACTTCACCTTGAGGGGATGGTGGGACTTAATTCTTGAATGTCATCTTGAAGCTTTCTAATGCAAAGAGGAGCAGTGAATTCTATTTTTACAAGGCTAGGAAACAGTCCATGCTTGTGCTTGTTCACCTGTTTCCACATAATGCAGACTTCTTGTGAAATATGTCTGAGGATGTGTTATACTAGGAGTACACAACTGAAATTTTCTCATGATTTTGACAAATTTAACTTGTGTTACAGCTGGCACTGTCCAAAAAATTCCCATGTCTCTGATCTATTTCTTGTAACTCTTGTTTCCTTGCGAGTCCTCTCTCCCTTTTTCTTCATGCAATTTTTTCCAGGCACTTCAGTGACTACTTCTTCCTATGGGGCTATTTATAAGCTCTTACAGGCTATGGAGTTTAAAATGAAAGCATCTATGTGGAACACAATACATGACTGACCAATCAGAAGAGAGGGCTTCCAGATACCTGATTATCCAGGACATTCTTTCATTTGATAATGGTGAATCAAACTGTTGAGGCCTCTCCTGGAGTACTGTATCTAGTTCTGGGTTCCCTGGGACAAAAAAGACAAGGATCTCCTGGAGGGAGTCCAGCAGAGGACCACAAAGATGGGTAAATGGCCTGGAGCATTTCCCTTATGAGGAAAAGCTGGGAGACCTAGGTCTGTTCAGCCTAGAGAAAAGAAGACTCAGAGGTGATCTTAGTAATGTTTATAAATATGTTAAGTGTGGGAGAGAAAGGGACAAGGCCAACCTCTTTTCAGTAGTCTGTTGGGACAGGGCAAGGGGAAATGGCCATAAGCTGGAACATAGAGAATTCTAAAACGCCTGCTTTGGCAGGGGGATTGGACTCTATCTCTGGAGGTTCCTTCCAACCCCTACAATTCTGTGGTATCATCTGATGTGTATGTTTACGTATGTATGTTCAGGGCAAGTATACCACATCTTTCTCTTCCTGTAAACTCAAGTGTACCTCAGCAGGTAGGATAGAAGGCAGAGCTCCAAGTTTGGTAACCCTGGGTTCCAAACTACTTATCAAGAAGCTTTGATGAAGAACACGCAGCTACAGCTGGTCAAGTGGAAATTAATTTGTGTATGACTTGAAGGCAGCAGCAATTCAGAGTTGCAGCAACTAAGAGAAGTCCTGCATTTGCAGCATATATGCCAGCACATCCTCGCACAATACCTATTCTCTGAGCAGGCTTCTCTTACAGTATTCTTTGAATTGGCTTGTTAGGCTGTACTTGTCAATTATTTCAATAGTCAAATGGACAATACCTTCTGTTACCAACTATTTATACTGTCAGTTTTCATCCTTGAGAATAAAGTAGTTGTATATATCTGCAGAGGCAATGCATTTGTGCCTATGTCTATCTAATGAGTACATAGAGTTGAAAATTGCATAAACTGTTGCTGTTCTCTTGCTGTTCAATGTAATTTGTGTTTGAATTATAGTGAGCTCGCAGCTAAAGTTGAAAAGATTATGAAATGAGTCAAATTGTTCATGTGCCAGTTTGTAGTTCTATGCTAGGTATTTTTCACTATTTTAGGGTAGCTCACCAAAAAGTAGACTTATCTGCGCTGACATTATGTGCTAAAATTAGCAAACACTCATTCTTAGAGTCAAGTGAAGGAAACAGAATTTCATGGAAAAGTTTTATTAAAGTGTAGATCAGTTCTCTGTTATCGATGCTCCAGTCTAAACACAATCACTCCACCAGTAGCATTTCTTGGTTGCACAGTGTTACTTGAGCTGCTAGCTTGAGCTTCTCTCCATCATTTAAAGGGTCTGTTTGAACAGTAAACATCATATGGGATTCAGCGCTAGTTATAGCAGGAATTAGCATCTTTCATGTTTGAGGTTGCATAATTAACATTAAAAATGCAATATAACTTTAAATTAGCATTAATTTTTTCAAAGTTAGTTTAGAAAAACTAGCGGAAATGATAATTCCAGGAAGGAATGATATGTAACTCTACGGAAACATATAAAACATACATTTGTATATGTGTGCTTAATATGTTGTCTCTATTAAATAGATACTAATATATTTATTAAAACATAGTTAATATGTTTGCACGTATACCAGTATGCTTATTATATCCTCATCTGTAGAGCATATTTGAAGCTTTACTGAAAGAAAACAACCTCTGTGTTTGTCTTTTCAGCTGTCTCCTCTTTGAACCTCGAAGTGAATTTGAATGTTACATGTGACTTGTCTGGTGTTATTGCTGAGTACAGTATCCTCCATCAAAACCAAGGCTGGCAGCAGTAGCTGATGCTTTCCTGAGCAGCTCTGCTCACTGTGCTACAGCCTACTACTAGGAGTAAAAGAACAGTTTGATTCTCATCACTATCTTCTTTGAACTTGTCTACAGGATAAGAAAACCCCCAGAAGTGACACTTTTAGGTCAGGAGCTGAAACACCTCATCTGACTGGATGAGAGCAGTGTTTTGTTTCAAACACGTTGAACAGATTTTCTTGATCAAAAAACTTATGTGCATGTAACCAAGTCAAAACTATCCAGTTTCAGTCCATCAGATTGGCATTTTGCAGATGTAGGGTATCTGTCCTCTGACCTTATCAGTCAACATCTAGGACTGACTGTTTTATAAACTGTAGCCTTGTTCAACTGCAGTGAATAATTTGGTAGTGGGACTGTCATTTTCAGAGAAAACATGCTTCTGTCCAATGATGCACTGTAAATAAGCACCATAAAATTTTAGTCCTTATGTTTCCTTCTACAGTCATTTTTACTTGTTTATACTCATGTAGTCTCACAGTGAATAAAAATGATAGTCTTGTTCTTCATCCTGTTGCTCAGATGAAATGAGGGTCAGGAATTTGATAAGCATTGAAGAACACAGAAGAAAATCTGTACCTTCACCTTAAATTATGATATAACTAATCTAACCTTCATTTGTACATTCTTTTCTGTCCCTAAGGATGGAATCTGTGTGTGGTGGTGGTACTTTTCAAAAATGAAGTCTGTAGTTCCTAGAAATAAAGTCAATTTATAAGCACAGGGCATTATGGAGTACTGGTTTGTTATGATAGTCATCTCCAGAGGAATTTTGAGTTTTTTAACTTTGGTCATGGTTTGGCCTTGAGACCAAAGTAAATAGATTTGGCAACTTTCAATAAAATGGATTCTAATAGAATTTAATTTTGTTCTGTCTGACAGGGCATTTTGTCTTTTTTTACCATTGTGTTGTTTGTAGGACAAAATGCAGGAAATAAGCTTGTTTCTTTGTTTGACGCTGTACTGACTGACGAAAATGGAGTACAAGTCCAAGCATACTGAGATAGTATTACTCGTACATGCATAACACGGTGAATTAGTCATTCAAAACTATTCTTCCTGCAGAAAGGCTTACAGGGAAAAGTTCCCATTATGCAAAGAGTTGTACATGATTTCACTTTACGTGACTTTAACCATGAAAATAAATAAAACTTTGTAGGACTGGGGACTTTCTTTCACTTTATTTTATTCTGTTTGCAAGGTATCTTCAGATCTAGAAGTTAGTTTTTATGACTTCTAAAGATTTAAAGTTGATAAAATTAGGATTAAAGGATAGATCTTAGATTTCTGTGTCTTCTGGCTTCATTCAGCTCCTCCTGTGTCTTTCTGAACGACAGCATTGCTCACGTCAGTCAAACGAAATCAATATTTGCACTTAAGTTTCATAAATACACAGATTTTTCTTCTTGTTTTAATTAATAAGATAGTCTAGTTTATAGATCCAATCTACATGGCAGAGTGCAGCACAAATGGCCCATACAAAGCTCTGTGTTGTGATGCTGGATGTTCCTGGTACCTACAGAAGACTGTTTCAGCAGCATGCTACAGCAGTCAGCAGAACTGTCCTTATCTTCTTTTTCAGAATGGAACATTTTACAATGCCTTTATTACTGAAATTCCTGCTTTATCAGTGGTTTACAGATGCATCTTTCGCAAAAACATCTTAATGTTGCTGCATCTAGAGTGGCAAACCCAGATCATCTCTGACTCCTGTGCTGATCTGAAGTACCAGCAGTGTCTTAGGAACAGCAAAGGTTAAGTGGAGATCATTGCTTGGAGGACTTGGAGATGGTGGATGTAACTTGTATTAAAGTTGCTAGTGTTAATTGAGATTAATTTTTGAAGTCAGTGGAACTACTGATTCTGCCTTGTTCTGTCTGTCAGAGCAGAACTGGCTACTGAATGCTTTCAGTCTCTGTGTCTGAAGCTGGACTGTAATTGTATTGTTGGGTTACCCGTGTACTGCTGTACTTCAAAGCTGATAGACTGGCAGCAGCTAAAAACTGAAGTATGGTTATCCAGTAGCTCTCTGAAAATGAGTATTGCTTTGATCCTTCTTGCAACAGAAAGCAAAAATTTGGATTTTTTTTTTTAATTAAAAAAAACCTGGTTCTGTGATACCAGCTCTGTAGCTCAAAAATCAGTCTTTTCTTCAAATGGAAAATGTCATTTTGCTAAAGATACCTTACAGCAACATAGAGCTGTGGCTTGTGGACTTAAAGAAAGCACTCTGTTCTGCTTTCTTTGTGTCTGTCAAGTTGAATAAGTAACAAACAGCAGACTGATGAGGTCTTCTTACATTCACATATCAAGTGAAATAAAACAGGCAGCTGTTTGAATTGTGAGACTGGAATACCATCAGAGGCTGCTTCTGGAGCCAGAAATGTAGAATGAAGTCTTATGTGTAGGTACCAGAGTCCTGTCTTGCAGCCACTAACTTAAAATTTGGTCAGAGTTTTGTTGTTAAATATGAGATGCCTTACTTTGGCACTTACGTGTTGCCATCTGTTTGAAAAACAGCCTCACCCTTTTTACTTATTGTTCTCCTACCTAAGGTTCCTTGTGAGCCTTCTCCCTGCTGCCCTCCTCTGTGGCCCTTCTTTGCTGTCCTGTACCCACCTGTGTAGCTTTCTCTGCTGCTATACTCCATCCCCATAATTGCCAGTGTTGTCTTGGCTGCTGTGGTGCTACAGCTTTGGCTCTGCTCAGTTCCAGAGTCATGGCATAGGCAGTGGTATGCTCAGGTCTCTGCCTCCTTTGCTTGTGCTGAATTGTGTTTCAGACCCGTGAGCTGACATCCAATCTCTCTTAAGATCCAATCACTGATCAATCAGATGCTGTTTCTGTGTTGAATGCCTGTGTGCCATGTGCCATGAATAAGAGAAAGAACAGGATCCTGTGAGAGTAGGTTAACTGACTCATATGGTTTTCTGGCCTAATACTATCTCATCAGTGGTAGATTTGAGTAATGCTACTGCTGCAATTAACAGAATAGTTATTTCTAAAAGATCTTTTAAATTATTGTGAATCACACTTCTGAGAATACATTAGAAGATTCACTTTGTGTTACACCTTTCTTAATTCAGGTTTTAATTTATCTAAATTTTGTGGCCTATACACTCAAAGGCATGGTTTGACAGCTCTCAAAATTGACACAAAGCTGTCCATGTCTTTACCAAATCAGAAGTTGGAGAGCTTTCTGATTGGTGGTGTCTTACTTGTGTGACAGGTATTAGGTCTTGACCCCCATTTGGTGACGTGCAACATTCCTGGTCTGCTCGTGTCCGGGTCTATCTCTGGCATGCATGCTGTCAGCTGTTGGCTTGGATAGATAAGGAAATGCCCTTGCCCTTTTCCAAGAAAGACAGTCCTTGTGCTTGACTAAAAACACCAATTCCTATGATGTAACCTGTCAACAATTAAAACAATGAATTTAATTATTTAGAGGAAATTCTGCAAGAATTTTAAAAAAGATTAAATTGTTTTCAATTTGCATTATTATAATTACCTGTTGAATTGAAGGTGTACAGTCTATTATTTTCTTTCCAATTTGCCCTTGTTATGTAGCTAGAGGATACCACTTCAGTGAATAATGCTGAATTCACTTTACAGTGTAGCTGTTGATCTCTCTGTCTTCGGGGTTATTTTCTCTGAAGTGAATTCCAATTCTCTCATGTTTTCTGTTTTGTTAGGTTCTTAAATACTGTGATAAATGTTAGGGTCTAGTAAGTTTCAACTTTCTATTTTTATCTTCTGGTAAACACTACACCAGATGTGGGCATGAAGGACCCTGCGAAGCTGAGGGAGTTCTGCTTTTATTCAACACTTTTATCTTTCATAACTGAGAATTTCAGTTCATTTTTTAGGATTATGTATGTGCTGTTTTGTGTTGTTTTTTTTTTTTAAAGCTGAGAAAAACAGGCTTACGCAACTTAGTTTGCATAAGTGCAATGAGTCATTCACATTTCTTTTTTTGCATCTGTGTGTATGTGTTACATCATTTTATATAACTTTTCTTTGAAAAAGCACTACTGTAAATGCTAAGAATATATTTTTCCTGTAAAACAAAAATGAAGAAGGGTTCGCACTGGCCCACTGTCCATTGCAGCGGACAATGCAATGCATGTCCATGTCCCCTCATAGATACTACAGTGTCTCCTTATACATACTGTTCTCCGAGGTGAATTTTGGTGATTCTGCTTGGGCAGAACAAGATCCCTTGGACTCTTGTTCTTCTGGGCTTGTGCTGTCACCTGAATGTGCAAGGGGAAGGCTGAGTAGTTGTAGTCTTTCCCCTTCGTAGGCAGAGCTGTGAAGATCTGCACATGGTAACTGGTTTTATACACAGGGAGGGAAGTTCAAATGTGTATAGTCTTTCATGCATACTGTAGCTACTGCCTTATCATGCATTTAGGGGAGGGTGCAGCTTTCCTGAGCCTCGACACCAACTGGTTTTCTGTGCATTGTTGGAAGAAATAAAAGGTATAAATATTTCACATAGGTATCAGTCATGAGTTTCAAATGTCTTCCATCAGGCACACTTACAGAGAAGTCCTCTGGAAGGCCTCATCTTTTCTGACAATATTTCGTAACTCTATGTGATCAAATATACCCTGAATGTTCAGCTGCTTGGAATCTGTTGTTTTGAATGCAATTACAGGTATTAAATGTCAGTACAGTTTAAGTGCTAGAATTTCTGTTTTGTTTTATGTGTTTCTAATGTGTTTTCCTTGACATTCAGTGACTACTGCTACATGGCTGTGGCAGGAAAATTCTGCCATAGAGGGGGAGAGAGTTTGTCCAGGACGTAGAGATGTGTGCGTAGGTTGTCTTCTTGTCCCCAAAGCTGTTCTGAGTCTTGCCAGTTCATTTCTCTACACCTCTCTGCTATATCACCATGTTTTCTGATCTGATATAATTTCTCAGTGAGCATTCTGCAAGTTTCTTCCAAAATGGAAAGTTTCCCACAACAGTTTCATACTTAATACTCTGTGTGCATTCTGTAATCTCCCCAGTCTGCTCTACTTCCCAGTGTTTTACCCAGTTTCAGAATCTCTTCCTTTCTACAAACCATTTCTTATTTCCATCACAATTTCCATTTGATTTCATTAGCCTCTTGTGTTTCATGCAAGTAGCACTGACCATTCTTCTTGTTCATTTCTTGCAATTCTTGTGGCAATATATTTGACTAATGCAGTAATCACAAAAATAGAGATATTATATTTTCTCTCCAATGCAGAGCAGATGTTTATAGTCTCAAGATAAGACACTGTTCATCTAAAGCTTAATTAGAAGATTAGCAGTATCTGAAGTCTGCAGTAGTACCATGAAACATTCAGGTATTGTTTTTAATTGTCTGTTGTAGCATACTCTAATTGATAATAGACATGAAAATAAGACTTCATTTGTCAGCAAGAAATCAAACTCATATCAGGAACTTTACTATCTGCTGACAAAAAAGCTTCAAAAGAAGAACAAAAGTGTAAATTTAGGTGTACACTTAGATTCTTTGCTGGATTTATGTTCAGAAGAGCAGCTTTGCTGGCTTGGGCTGTAAATGGAATTAATGTACCCAGAGAAAAATGTACTCATAGTTAAATAAATATAACCATTTCCTCCAGCAAATGTTGACTGTAATGCACCCCCTTCTCAGTAAGGGATAATTAGTATGGCATCTGGAAATAAGAAAGGTCACTGAACATTTGGAACACTATACAGATAAG